ACTGTCATTGAGGGAGTCAGCCGTGCCGGGCGCGTTGGCCCCACTGTCCAAGAGCCGATTGTCCTGCAAGTCCACCATGGACAAACTCTTGCTGCCATTAGACATCTGCACGTCGGGCTCATTGGCCTCTGAGTAACTGGAGCTTCGGGCAGGCGAGGGCTGGGCCCCAGCAGACCTTGTGACAAAAAACAAGTCCTTGTTTTCAGGGGTTGGAGATGGTAACCGTGTGAAATCTATCAGACTGCGGGGAAGTCAGTGCGCAAGGAAGAGGAGAGGAAAACAAAACAAAAAAGAAGAGTTGTGAATGCTGCACCGGAGCAGGAAAACGAAATCAATCAGAAGAGATCTGCGTGGTGCAGCTGTGCGGGATGGGGACATAACCCCTGCGGGCAGGGCTGGCCCGGCTGGGTCCGCCGGCGGGGAGGGAGAGGGGGGTGACAGGGAGCGGGGAGGACGGGGGTGCCCTGGGCCAGCCCCGCAGAGCGGGCGGCTGTAGGCAGGGGAGCGGGGGCCCGTGGGTGCGTGGCCAGAGCCCCGCGCCGCGCAGGAGGCATTCGCAGAGCCCTCGGGGGCTGGATCTGCTCATCACGCTGATGGCACGTGTCACCCGTCCTGATTCCAGCCGGCTGTGCCCGTGCCACTCTCACATCCTCTGCCCTGCTCACATCTGCACAGCACACAGCACCGTGGGGCCTGATCCACACCAGGGCCTCCAAGGGTCAGACAGAGCGCTCTATCGGCAGAGCTAAAGCCTGGCAACCGCAGGTTACCCACCAATTCCTCCTGCTGTAATATTCATTCACGCAATATTGATTTCTTGAGGACAAGAAGAAAGAGCTTTGAAGTAGCTTAATGTGAATATACCCCTGATCAAAGATGGCGCATTGTAAGCAAGTATTTGGGTGAGAGCATACTGTCAGGGATCCTCCATAGCATTAGAATTAAATAATTGCACCTCAAGCTGGGAAGCGTTAGAGATGAAAGCCCTGATTAGAGCAAGTCCAGCACCATTGCTGCCTTTCATTCCTAATTAACCTGTTAAATATTATGAGGTTTCCGCTTACAAACTCTTTTACTCGCAGTGTCTTCTCATCTGCGTGGCCTCCATTTAATTTTCCACAAACAGAAACATTATAGGCCTGCAACAGAGTTGTCTTCCCCATGAATGAAACTCCTTATGTAATTAGGCCAAAAAGTACATCAGGTGACTGTGCCTGTGAATCACTGCTCACCATTCTAAACACCCAGTGGTATAAAAACTGGACAGAGCGGACTGGAATTGACTGTTAGGCCTCTGCAGCTTGGCAACGCTCAGAGGAATGTCCAGATTGGATCTCCGGGCATTCAGCACATACCTGATGTCTTACAGAAATGGGTAAGGCCAATCCTATAAATCTTGCATGCTCAGAGACCTAACGAACTTCACGGCAATACCCATCGCTGAGGTTAGCACAAACAAGCCCTCAAGCTCTCAAAGGACGAACATTTTGTTTCTGCAGCCACATCTCAACAGCTGAGAGAGACCAGAACCACCAAGTTTGTGACTTCCCAAGACCACATCCCCAGTTTGGGCTCACAAGGGACCCAGGATGGAGCCATGTGCTTGCACTACTGCTCGCTGCTTACCCTGGATTCCGAGCTGACATCAGTACCAGTCCTGCCACCAGGAAGCCTAGCCAGCCATCAGGCAGCTCCACACTACACCCTGTCCTGCCTGTCTCTGCAGGTGCCCAGGTTTTGGCAGTAGATGAATATCCAGTATTTCCCTGGTCGGTGGACAGGTCACCTTTTATGCTCTTACCCAGATAAGTCATTCTCTATCACCATTTTCTGTAGCCCCGCAGAGATGCTGTTGCCAGCATTAGGCGTGGATGCAGCGTGATCGGCCGTGACCGAGACCTGCACGCAGGCCGGGTTACTGAGTGCCGAGTTGACGTCCCTCAGGATCCGTGGCAGAGGCCCAAGTTTTGTTGCAGTGCCCTGGGCAGAAAAAAAGAGCAGAATTACTACCAAGATCTTGTATTTTTGCTAGAGAACCGTGGGCTTTGCCAGTTGCTGGACAGTCTCTTTGGTAAATGACGTTAACAACATTCATTTTCTCCACCATTTGCCCCCACCGCTGAGGCTATGGGATGTCCCAGAACATGTGGCTTTAGGAATGATTTTGCTGCTGTGGGGCAGAGGAAGCAAGCGTGATTAACAAAGTTCAGATAGAGAAGACGACAGCTATAGCAAAGCCTGTTCCAGGTCTCTTGACAAAAAAAATCCTTTTAATTAAAAATAAACCTTTTGAATCTGCTGGGACAGACAAAATCCTGGTGTTCGGCAGCTCTGCCTTCTCCTCCCACCGGCCCCTCCATCCTCGCCCCCAGGGATAAACAGCAGAGGAGGGAACAAGCCGTCCTGAACGGCCCTGGGTGCAGAGAGTGAGCTGTGCTCTGCAGCACGTGCAAAGGCTGGGGAAGTGCTACGGGTCAGGACCAGCGGCGCTGTGCACAGACATAGTGAACGGGTTGCTCCCTGCTGGAGATGGGGAGCTGGGTGGTGTGGGGCATCCACCCAGCGCCGGCCAACTGCGCTCCCCCCAGCGCCTGCCCCTGCGAGCCCCCTGTACCTGCTCCAGCTGAGAAATGACTTCCCAGAGTAGTGAGTGCAAGGTGGAGAGTTCCCGGCCCAGGTCAATGTAGCCTTCAAAGCCAGCTGTGTTCGAGATGGTTTCGGGGTTGGAAATCTCCAGTAGAAATCTCTGCATGTTAGTCCATTCATGTTCCAGGAACTGATTCATAAAGGACATGTATTCCTCTTTGCTGCCAAACCTATCGAGACAGCAAGATGAATTTCAGCTCAATCCTGTAAACAGAAGTGCAGTCAACACAACGGGTAGGTACCCAGGCAGGTAAGAATGCCAGAGCCTTCCTCCAGCATCTGAACCTTCCAAAGCCTTTGGGATCATTGGGTTGCTAGCAGGCACCTGGTGCCTCACTGAATGTGAAATCAAAATTAACTCCAGCCTAATCCTGTTAAGTCCCCATCAGCATGGGATCTCCGCAGCAGAAATGAAGGTGCAAGCGAGAGAAACAAAGCTGGGCTTGGTAATGGGGTGTATCTTACTGCTGGGCCAGGGCACAGCCTCCAGAAACAGGACCTGTCACTGGAAATAAAGAAATCGTAATACCAAGCACCATCAGCTGACTGAAGCCCAGCAGAAGATGGTGGCGGGAATCCTGCGCTCCCCCCACTCTCGCACGGGCACTGAAGCAAAGTCCAGCCACGCCGGTGCTGCTGCCCCGGCACAGCCGCTCCGGGGATCCCCCTGGAGAGCCAACCTGCAGCTGGGCCAGCCCGTTTGTCCCCTTGGGCTTCCTGCAACCCCCTTCTGCCCTCCAAGCGCCCACCCCGACTCTACTCTGGGTTAGATGTCTTATTTAGAGCACAACAGGGACGGCCTCGTGGTTCAACCGTACCAGTAGCGGTTGGTGCCGTGCCAGCGATTCGGCGAGGCGAGGTTCGGCTGCGTGCCGTCTGCAGGCCAGCTCTGCTCGATCACTTTGGCTTGACTAATGTCAGCTTAGCTAAAGAGTCTTTCCTGCAAAGTGCTGAAAACCTGAAGCCCCTTTCGTTAGGGATTGGTCAGGAATACAGGCAATTTCTGTCATCTCGCGTAACACACTCGAACGTCTTCCATCTCGGGCTGCGTGCATGTAGGCGCGCTCCTGACGGCGAGTGTGTGCACTAAGCTAGTTTCCAAATCTAAGAAGCTTTAGGCAGAAACTGTCCATTCACGTTTCGGAAAGCTCATCATTTTGTTATCAGAGCTCAGGATAAGTAGCTCAGAGCTGCAGCCAGCGGAAAGATTTTTTGAAATCTCTCGCTTTGTTTCCATCAAGCCGACGGGCTTAGTTAGAAATGGAGAGGTTCCCCATTCGCTTTTCGTACCTTCCTGGTACAGGCAATTGCATTTTAATAGCAGGGAAGGTCCCAGAGCTCACAGGAGGGAAGGACCAGCTCCAGAGCTATGCACACCATGGCTGCTGTTTGGGTTCTGGTGCTGCTGGTGCCTGTGACCGGAGGTGGCCGTGCCCCGCTGCCAGCCATGCCCCACACAGCCACCACGGGACGAAGCACCCGACCGTGCTGGGGCGTTCCTGCCGCCATCTCGCCTGTGTGGTCAAAGCAGCCTGTTTTCCTACTCATAAAACACGTCCTGTTTTGGAAAATTGAATGCTCTCCCTGACCCAACAGTGAGGGAATGGGTCCCAGAGAGACAGGGAGGAAAAAGCCAACAGGAAACAAATGGGCCCTTTCCATCGAGGAAAGGAGCGGCCAGGGAGGGACAACGGGTGCCAGAGCCGTGGCTCTGCCTACGCACCCCCTTCCCCCTCTTCAGGCCCGTCCCCTCCCGCGCCGGCACCCCGGCTTACTTGGCGAAGTTGGCGAGGTTCTGGGTGACCTTGGCAATGAGAGTCAAAGTGCGCGCAGTGCGGTCGTCCGGGTACTCCTGCAGGAGACTGAAGAGGGACGGGGACATGATGGCCGGACAGAGGAACCGGAGGAACAGGGAGGCACTGATCAGTCGCTCGCTGATGTCTGGGCGGCCTCGATTGCTGCATTCTTGTCTCCAGGAGGCAAAAACTTCTTTGAGCTCCCTTGGGAAGACGCTGAAACGACAGAAGGACATGCAGGGACGGCAAGTTCAAGGCCAAGGCGTTCAAACTGCCACACAGCGGTAACTAACCGTGGTCCCAATGGGCGGTGGGGTGCGACACCCAGCCCTGTACAAGAGCGGAGCCCTCTCGCCCTGTTGATCTACAGCAACACCGCTACCCACACCGGTTGTGGGCTCTTGTCCTCTCTTTTTGCAGAGTGTCCCTTAGGAGACTCGAACTACACAGGAAAAAGCAAAGCCATTCCATAAAGCTGTAAGAGGAGCAGCTTTCATCAGACTGATGCTCCTGGTCATGCCGGGTGCCAAAACCCCCGACAGCTGGGATGATGGAGAGATGAAACCAACCGCACAGAGCAGCTCATGGCAAGGCAGCCGGCTGTGTCACGGGGCGCTGCTAACGAGGGGAAGCTCAGCCACCAAGGTGGAGAGCATCTCCTGAGGAACCACAGCGCCGTGGGAGCCCCTCGGCAGAAACACGGCAGCACCGGGGGCACCGGCACAGCTGCTGCTCGGAGGGAGGGCTGTGCTAATTGTAATGCTCCTGTTCCAGGCACCTGGATCAAATCCCACTCTGCCTAGCACAACCGTGGAGCCCCACCGGAGTTACTCCAGCTTTGTAACTGTGCAGACCTCAGCCTGGCTTTCCCGGACACCAGAATTTCCCCAGGCCCAGCCGACGCTCGCTGCAGCAGCCCTTATCGCTGGAGAACTTGCTGCCTGTTTCTGCTCAGCCCTCCCCAGCTCTCTGCTCCCACCTTATCCTGTTCCCAGCACGTGTTATTTATTCAGCTGGATACTCCCACCCGTGGGAGCGGGCTGGCCAAGGGTCCCACCGCGCTGCCGTCGGTCCCCTGGGTCCCTGGCACACAGCTCCCCCCCTGCCCCGGAGCTGCCCTGGCCAGCAACCACCGCCTTTTGTTTCAAAACCAGCGCTGTTTCCCGACAGAGCTGGATGGTACACAAACAGACCGAAGAGGGCTTGGACTCCATTTTAGGCCATAAATCTCCCTAACAAACAGCCATTTTAGAGGATGGTTTCCCAGTTTTGCTGCAGGGACCATCTGGGAGAAGCAAAGCGATGTCAGCTTCTCCCTGGCCTGCCCCTCTCTCTGGGACTGACTGCCCTGCGGCTGAACCTCGCACCAGTCGGGAAGAAGAGAAAACCATGGAAGTTGCACAGCCAGAGGCACTGTCCACTGTCCACCAGCAGCAAGAACCAGGTGGGAGGCTCTGAAACAGAGGAGGACTCAGAGCAAAGAAGCCCTGCGGCAGCACCGCCAGCTCTCCGGGCGAATACAAGGGTGCTCCTCCTGCTGGCAGTGCTCCCCATCCTCTGGCCTCCGCTTCCCAGGGCTACAGACACTCACTTCATCAAGCCCAACTGACTGCTCCTTGCCACGGCTGCAGCCTTCAGGACCCGTGGGATTTGTGGTCCCACCAGCGGCACGTACCCTGCAGCCCTCACCCCTCGTTTCATTAACCTGCCAGCTGCAGACGTCGGTCCTTCCGACACGGGCGGCGATGCTCCGTGGAAGCGCTCGGCCAACGCTGCCGTCATTTTCAGCTTCTGCTCCGTGTTGGCTTCGTGCTTTCACCCATGTGAGCTCCTACCCTGTGCTTTACAAATAACATTAGCCAGCGTCTTCAGCTGGATAAATTCTCCTCTGTCTTTGGCTTGATCCACACAATTGGACAAAGCCCTTTTACTTCATGGTGTTTGCCCAGAAACAGGAGAATCCTTTAAGCAATTTAAGGCTTGAATGATCAGGACAGGTTGTACAGTTACTGGAAAGTAAACCCTTGAAAATGCAGGCAGCGGCTGCACGCAGCCTGCGAGCGCTGCTCACCGTCACAGCCTGGGAGACCATAAAAGTTTAATTGTGTTACAGCGGATGGAATTCAGTTCGCCGGCTTTATGTGACAAACGGGCCCGTAATTCATTACCCAACTTTCCAGTAACGAGCTTCCACATGCTGAATTTCTGCTTACACTGAAACTTTCCAGATGTCCAAATTATGTCATAATTATAACAATTTTCAGTTATTGTAAACCTCTTTCCTCTCTCTTGATTCTCTCCAGCAGATGAGGACGCGTACTCTGGCACTCTATTTAAAGCAAGATCGTTAGCTGTCAGGATACCTCGCCCAGTCCTGAATGCTCATCAGCCCAATTAATCCCCAAGAACCCCCTGAGCACAAAGGGTGGAGGGGGAACCACTCAGAGCAGCGGCTCAGCTGCTCCCGCCTTCCTCGGAAAGGCAGGGCTGGGGGAACAAACTTCCCATGCATTCCTGACTTCCCTTAGGTCACTTTTCAAGCCTATTTTTAGAGCGACCTTTTAGCGCTGCTTTGGGTACTTTTAGGAAGACGTTAATTCAAACAGTGATAATCTACTGGTTTCGAAGAGCAGCGAATCCCTCCTGGGAGAGCAGGTAACCGCCGTTCCTGAGTCCGGGAGTTACTAAGTGGCCCAGGATAAGGTCTAGGATACCTGTAAAGAAATCTGCCCTTTTGCTTATTTGCGGTAGACAGAGGAAGCCTGAGTGAGCCTCTTGCTGCTTGTTCTCCCCCTCAGCAATATCAAGAAAAGCAATTCCCTTCCTGGGCTTGCAGGAGGGCACACTCGGTGTCCTGGCAGGTTACCTATAATGAGTTTTCAGGCCTCAACAGAAGAGCTAGGATAGGAGAGAAAATAAGAAGTCTTTATTATCAAATACTTCCTTCCTCCAATATTACCCTTAGTTGATGTTTTGCAACTAAATACATTAATAAAAACCAAGCCCGGACTTTTAAGCAGTCTTGCAACTGCAAATCCAGCAGCGAGACAAAAATGATCCTTCTCATAGGACCAGGACCAGAGTCTCTGGGTATGTTAGCAAGAAGCAGTAAGAAAATATTTTTATTTCTCCAAGAGGGTCACAAGCCCATTTCTTCCCCTTTCAGGTCACCTTTGCAGGCAGCGGCTGAGCAGCCCCAAGGGCTCCTGGCTCCCAGTCCCCAGGGCTGAGCAGCAGGTCACACCACGAGCACGGCCGTGCCCGACAGCCACCTCCACAAGATACGACCACCTTACTCCAGTCAATTTTGCATATTTAGGCCTGTCCCAATTAGTTGCAAGAAACCTTTACCCTGAGAACAACCAACTAGGAAATGCCTCAAACTGCATACCGGGACTTGGGCCAAGGAGGCGACGGGCTCCCCTCCACCTCAGCAAGCACCCCGGGGCTGGGAGAGAGAGGGGTTAACCCAGAGGAATGCAGGACGCTGAGCAAAACAGCAGGAACCCCTCTGCTCTGCTCTGGGGAGACCTCCCCTGGAGCCCTGCGTCCAGCTCGGGAGCCCTCAGCACCAGGAGGACATGGACCTGTTGGAGCGGGGCCAGAGGAGGGCTACTAAAATGCTGCGAGGGCTGGAGCCCCTCTGCTCTGAGGCCAGGCTGGGAGAGTGGGGGGTGTTCAGCCGGGAGAAGAGAAGGCTGCGGGCAGAGCTGAGTGCGGCCGCTCAGGGCTTCAAGGGGGCCCAGAGGAAAGGGGGGGACAAGCTTTTTAGTAGGGCCAGCTGGGACAAGACAAGGGGTGATGGCTTTAAACTAAACCAGGGTAGGTTTAGACTGGATCTAAGGAAGAAATTCTTTACACTGAGGGTGGTGAAACCCTGGCAGGGGTTGCCCAGAGAGGGGGTGGAGGCCCCATCCCTGGGAACTTTCAAGACCAGGTTGGACGGGGCTCTGAGCAACCTGATCTGGTTAGCAGTGTCCCTGCTCACTGTAGGGGGGGGGTTGGACTAAATGACCTCTAGGGGTCCCTTCCAACCCAAAACATTCTATGATTCTATGATCTGCCTGAACAGAAGCTCCCTGTGCTGGTGCAGCTTCCGCGCAGGAGCAGCGCCCCAGACCCCGGTGCTGCAGAGAGGACTTCCAAACTTCACCCCACGTGCTGGGGAGGCAGGCAGGGTCCGTCAGTCTGACCCAGACTGGATCATCACAGGGGTAGGAGACGCAGGACGCGCATTTCTGCCCTTTATTCCTGACTTTCATAGACAGTTGGCATCAAGTCCCTCTCTGAACTGGTCACACTGGCAAAGGCATTTCGTGTTCCTTCACTCCGCTGCCCTGTCCCCGTGTCTGCGCACCAGTAACCCTTCAGCACCCACCGAAAACAAGCCCGATGGAGAACCAGTGTGGCTGTCGCACCCCCAGAGCAGATCCTCCCAACTCTGCCCGGGGTGGGAGCTGCCGTCTCCCCCCTGGCCATCCTCATCCCTGCCCCTGGACCACCTGGGCTCCCTTGCGCGCTGCAGGACGCGGGCAGGGCCCCGCAGCTCTCCCTCCAAAGCTCTCGGACAAGCTGCCCATCGTCACAGCTAAGGGACGGGTACCAACAGCCACCCTCGTCCCTGCAGCCGTGCCGCCTGTGGGCTAGCGGCGGGCGTGCGGAGGGGAGCCGCACTCGTGGGATACCCACCAGTAGGAGTTGATGATTTTGCAGAAGGCCAGCTCGCAGCACATCTTCAGGTTGCTCTGATGCTCAGGAAGGTCTGAAGATGAGCACTTACTGGGATCCACTTCACAATTTTCATCCGATTCGTACAGTGCCTTGATAAACTCCCCTGTAAAACAGACAACCGGGGATAGGTTTTGGAGACATGAGAGACACAGCCTTCAAGCAATTCTGTTGGTAAGCCCCAGTGCCCCAGCAGTTGTTACCCCATGCCCCGTCACGAACAGAAGCTGAGTACGAGAGCAGGCGGCGGTGGCTCCCGGGGCAGGCTGTGCCCCAGCCGGCTCTCAGGATCTCCAAGCAGCGCCAGGAGCGGCCGGCACCGCCTTGGGAGCTCACAAACCAACACAGCAGGCCCTGCAGAAAGGCACCCAGACTCCCAACGAGCGCGTTTCATCCCTCTTCCCCAGTTGGCAGCTCTGCCGCTGCGGCTATGGGCTATTGCATCAGACCTCCGCTGCCAAAACACCCGCACGCCCGCTTCCTCAGCCTGCCCCAACCCCCCGTGACACCAGCTCCAGAGACGCTCCCTCGGGGGAATCCAGTAGGAAGTATGCTGGCAGGTTCTGTAATTATTTGTAGGATGGCCTGCTACTGCAGACTCTGCCCTGGCGCTGACAAGCCAGCGTGATTCACAGGAGAAATAGGTAATTAAAGGAAAGAACAATTTACTTGGTTTATTTGGAGCTGAACATCAGACAAAATTAAATTTAAATATTTCTCTGAGTGTCCCTGCACTCCTGTTTGCTGCCTGGCTGCTCCTCACCCTTTGGAGCCACCCTGCTCTGCCAGCTCCTCGCCCTCGTGCCCCCTTCCACCCCGGGGGAGCGGCACGGACCCCGCTGCCCGGGCTGAGGGGGCTCCCCACCGCCCCCCCACGTGCCCAGCACACAGCACTGGCCATTTAGCTATGGACCCACAGGGCTGGGTGAAAGGTTTGCTTTGGTTTTTCTTCTAATTCCAGTTGGTTTGCTCATCTCCTAATTCCTGACCGCCTTGGATTTTCCCCAACCTCCTGGGTTTTGCCCACCCTAGTCTGCATTCCTCCCCTATTGCCAAAACAGATTTTAATTACGTACTGGAGAGCCTCTCCAATGTATTTTCAGCTCTGCCAGGGAGCTCTGGAGCCTCTCTGCTCGCCTGCAGGTGATGCCTGCTGTTTTTATCCGGCCCTATTACTTGCTCGTGCTTCACGGTTTGAAGGAAAGCGCTACGCCGTGTGGTGTGACCCTGTGCCACGCAGATGAATCGTTTCACTGATAAAAGATCTATGCAGAACCAGGGCCACGACCAGCGAGCAAGAACCGCAGGCTCCTCCTGCACTGGATGGAGCTGGCTTGGCAGCATTTCGCTGAGCCCGGAAAGGGGAATATTTCAAAAGTCTCTGCCTTCATTAATCTCCTGGCTTTTTAGAGATCTTACGAGGTAATCTACTTACAGACTTGCCTTCAACCAGAAAGCATTACAAGGCAGAAATAAATAATATTCCTTTTCCTATTCTCGTGGGCTATCTCTTGGTTTGACTGAATTTGCTCAACGATCTTCACACCACCCCCCCCACACCCCAACGTTGTCATTACTATTATCTTAATAAAGCATTTCCAGTACTTTGCTCCTTGCTAACATCACACAAACCTGTTAGTAGGAACCCAACATGCTGAAAAATTAACAGCTCAACAGAAACCCTGCTCACCCTACTGCTAAGCTGGGGTTCCACTCTGGCTGCCTTCGGCTGAGGTTCAAAGGCAGCCTCTCCCCATCCTTGCGCCGTGCTGGCTGCACGCAGCAACACAGCAATTCCTTCCTGACCTGCCCAGAAGCAGAAGCTCTCATTATTTTCATTTGCATCAAGAGAAATATTTTTGGAGCCGTAAACATAGCCAGCACTTTAAAAAAAGAAACCCAACCCAACCAAACCACCAGGAGGGTTCCCAGGGAGATCGAGGAGGCACCGCTCATCACTGTAGCTTGGGAGATTTCATCTGCCTCGGTCGGGCGGCGAGGAAGCGGGGAGCATCTCTGGCGGGGGTGTGCAATCAGGGGGAGGATTCAATCAGCCTCCGTGACACTGCCAGCGCCGAGACAGAAGACTTGGCAGGCAGCATCATGCCTTCAAATATCAATTTGTTACCTCCTCTGAAGGCAGATTAAAGCACCAACTCAGCAGCGACCTTCACCTGGGAGCAGAGAGCTGCCCGCTGTGGCCGTGCCCCGGGCTCAGACCCCGCTGCCAGAGAAACCCTCCAGCAGGTAAATGCTGGTGCCTCCTACGGCCATCAGGGCTCAGCCGATGGTCTCCACCCCGCGGAGCATCCTGCAGCTTCAAGGAGGCCCTCTCTGGGCAAGACCTGCCAAGGCTCTGTACGTACCTAAGGCATCTTGCAAGTATTTCTGCCCCACCAGCTTCAGGTATTCTTCGATTGCTTTGGTGGCCAGTGTATTCTCCCTGAAAATGAGATGCTCATTCTCACCACAGCGATCAACTTCAGACATCATCAGGTCAGTCAAGAAATCCTGGAAAGCAAAGCCCATGGTGGGTCACCACGCACTGACACACGCTTTGTCCAGCAGCGCCGGCAACCTCCCCTTCTCCCGAGAGGTCTCACCTTCGTAAGACACCGGAGGGAGCGGAGGTGCTGCGGGCCATCCTGCGTGTGCACGCTGCCTTACCACCAGCCCGACTTGCATAGAATCACAGAATAGAATCATAGAATCGTTTAGGTTGGAGAAGACCTTTAAGATCATCAAGTCCAACCGTCAACCTAACCCTGCCATCCCACCACTAAACCCTGTCCTGTTTCTCCAGCCTCATGGAGACAAGAGAGATAAATCGCTGGAGAGTGACAACTTTTGCACCCCAAAAAATGATTCATTCCAGGCCTGCACCACATTCACCCCTCCATCAGTGCTGGTTTTTGGTCGGGTCTCGTACCAGCCTCGCGTTTTGTGGGTGAAACATTTTCTCCACTGTTCAATTGGCTGCATTGGGTGTTTAACCACACTGGTTGCAGAACAGGGGCAGACAGACATCATGAGCCGTACCCCACAGTTAACAGCTGAGAATTGATCCTGTAATATGCATCGAGATGCTCAGATGTCCCATTTCCTTAGCATTCGTGGACACGAACAGCACTGCCACAGCCCCCATTTTGGGCACATTTTTGGTCTGACGTGCACACAACCAAATTCAATGCCATTTTACACCCCTCCGTGCTGCAAAGCACTGGAAGGGGTGAGCAGGAGCAGACCAACCCTCCGTGCTGCAAAGCACTGGAAGGGGTGAGCAGGAGCAGACCGCGCGCTGGCAGCTGCCCCGTGCATCAGTCTCGGCTACCAAATTGCAAATTCTAACAAAACCCCAGCATTTCAGACCCAGCTCCACGTCCGCTTCAGCAACAGCATTAACTGATCCGAGAGGGTCCCGCAGCTCCCCATGCATTCTGCTGGAAATCCACTACGTGGTGTAGTATTTAGTGTGCTCTACCTAGCGTTAATGCAGGAGCCACGCCAGGCAGTTTTTAATGCTCATACACATTCAGCTCCTGTTCTCTGCACGGCTAATGGGAGAAGCAGCTCTGGGCTCCTGCCCAGCGGAAAGGGTCGCCCTCCTCCCACCCAGCACCACGCACCCGGAGGACAAGGGGGAAGGGGCTGCCGGCGCCCTGTGAATCCCGTGCATCCCTGTTTCCCCATGCCGGAGACAGAGCATCGTTGAGGTACAATTCCCTGCTACAACCAAGGGCACCTTTTTTTTTTTTTTTTTAAACTGCCTTCCTCTAAAACAAAATCATTTGCTCAGTAATAACCTTTCACTACGAAATTCTCCTTCATTTGTCACGGCCGTGCCAGATGTAACCTGTTCCTGGCAGGGGCAGCGGGAGCACCCCAGAGCTGCCATGCAGGGACCCAGGTCCTGTCCTCGCCGTCCCCCCATAAAGCAGAGCCCCCCGAGCCCCCAAAGCGCTGTGGCCACGACCCAGCCCGCTCCAACCCAGCCTCGGCAGAGGGGACACTCGGGTCCCATCCCCTGCCCTCCGCCGCCCGGGAGACTTCCAAGAGAAATCTCTGCTCAGCTCCATTTCGGTTTTCATACGGATGCCTGTGCATTGGAGGTTTAATCAAGGTTCAACAAACAGCTCCCCTTGAACCCAACAGACCCAAACCTTCCATCCCCAGGCCCTTCGTTACTGTGGTTCTGTCCCTGAGAAAGGACAAGCCAGGCGGCCGGCAGGCGAGGAGGGCTGGCATCCGCAGCCCCCAACGGCCCGAGCCCTCCCGCCTTCCCGCAACACCACGGCTGGGACTGACACGATGCCGTGACCTTCCCAGAAAAGCCTCCAAAAACGCCAGAGAAGAAGCTTTGTGGGGGGGAAGGGGGAAAAAAAAAAAAAAAAAAAAAAAAAAAAGTCACATCCATTATTCCATTAGCCAGGAGATCTCCTTCCTCAGATCCCGCTACGTCTGCAATGCTCCGGCAGCTGCAGAGGCAAAAATCCCTCCTGGAAGCAAAGCACGTGCCTCCCCCCACTATTTTCTCTCATTTTGTCCCTTTTATCAGCCAAGCTGGAATGAAACTTTAAACCCCTGCTCAAATCCTGTTAACTGCTATCTGGGTAACTCATCACCTTTATCGTCCTGGGTCTCTCCCGGGGTACGTTTCAATTCCAAGCCACAGCTCAGGCTGACACAAGGTGCTGATTCTTAATTAGCAGCCGCTGACCTTGGCTTTGCTTGATTCTCTTTCCTGTCACTTTCCCAACATACTAATTATCTCAGGAACACCGAGTTTTATAGCTGCTCTTGGCCAAGTGTTTGCTTTCCCCCCCTCTTGTCAGCTGAGGACTGGCTGCCGCGGGGTGCGGGGCCAAGCTGCGATGCACAACCCAACGGCGAGCCGGGGCTGCCACGCGGTGGAAACCCAGGGGTCAAGCTTTAGCCAGCGATAATGTGAATTTTGATGATTTCAGCTGATCTACAGAATTCACCTGAATTTAAAATGAGGCAAAATTCCAGTCTGGGACTCAACACAAAGCCAGAGAAGATCCCTCCGAAGCCTCAGATGCCATCGTTACCCGCTGCAGAGCGCTTGCAGCCCTTGTCTCTGAAGCTGCTGAAATCCCAAAGAGCTCCATTACGGCGCAGCACCCAAAGCCGGGGTGTAACGTGGCAGAATCCGGCCTTGCTGCTGACCAGGGGATGGAGGCGAGAGCCAGAATGCCCAAGAGCATCCCCAGGCCAGGGCTTCTCACCATCCCCAGCAGGTCCAGCCTCCCTGGGCTGCAGGAGGCGTCTCGCCGGGCTGGAGGAACCGGCCCCAAGATCCATCAGGGATCAGAAAACCCACAGCCAGCATCCTCGTGTGAGCGGAGCTCTGCTCGCCGCCGGGAAGGAGCCTCGTCCGTGGGTCAGTTCCCATGACATGCTGCAATTCCTGTCCCAGGGCCATCTTCCAGATCTTGCCTTCCCTCCACAGAAAAAAAAGCCATATCAGCTCTGGATCACACGTCTGGTATCTCTGCCTTAAGTATGCCAGCAGCCAGCACTCGGAAGACACAAATGGAATGCAAATACTTGTCGAATCCCTCCGGGGGCCTCACTCACCCACATACAAGGCTCTGAATAAAATGCAATAACTAAAGCCAATAAAACTCCCTGTTTCTGAGCAGCAGAGATCAGCGGGGGGTTGTTTTTAGTTAGGGCCCCTGGCAATGGAAGAAAATAAGATGCTTTATTTCATTCCATTGGAGTTGAGAGGGGAAGGAAAAGGTCTACAGTAAAAATGAAGGGCTGTGGCAGCCTTCTTCAGCCCTGCTCCCGCGTTTATTCTAAGGATTTTTGCTTCAGACTGGACACAGCTGAACCTGTGCAACTTCAGTCACTGCACATACGCTGATAAAGAAGAGCAGTTCATAAATAAATAAATAAATAAAGAGCGTGACAGCACAAGGCTGCACTGGTTTCCAGCACTTTTCAAATAAACCCGAGCACGAGCCCGCAGCAGCACGTGCTAGCTGAGGCAGCTCCTCCAAGTCCTCAGCACACAGGGGGTTTGCTGCTCGAGCGGCAGCCCCGTCCTCAGCACCCCCTCAGACCCCACCACAAGGTACCCCCAGTGCTGCAGCATCCCCTCCGCCTGGGACGCCCGCGCTGCTCCGCAGGTCATCTCCCCACACCCTCCGGCACAGCACCCTCTGGAACGGGCTGCGTGTCACCCCCGGCACCCGTCCTGCAGCACGGGGCAGCCAGCAGTGCTGCCCTGAGCCTGGCTTTGCTCCTGCATGTCACCCCTGGCCTGAGCCTGGTTTGCTCCTGTGTGTCACCCCTGGCCTGAGCTTGGCTTTGCTCCTGCATGTCATCCCTGCCCTGAGCCTGGCTTTGCTCCTGCATGACACCCCTGCCCTGAGCCTGGCTTTGCTCCTGCGTGTCACCCCTGCCCTGAGCCTGGCTTTGCTCCTGCGTGTCATCCCTGCCCTGAGCCTGGCTTTGCTCCTTCATGTCACCCCTGCCCTGAGCCTGGCTTTGCTCCTGCGTGTCACCCCTGCCCTAAGCCTGGCTTTGCTCCCTTGCACCTCACTCTGCCCTTCAAACGTCTCCATCCTGATTTACCTGTAGCGTAGCCTAAAAACTTTCCCACTTCCCCTGGCTCTTCATCTGTTGAGCTGCAGATGCTGCCTCCCCTGCCCCGCCGGGGTGAATTCATCGTCCTGTCTCAAACCACAACCAAAAAGCATCTTCCTGTGGGTGAGGACACGAGTCCTAACCCCGGCCTCGTCCCTCGCACATGCAGCAATTCAGGACATCTGACAAAGTCATCTCGCAGCAGGACTGCTTCACGCTGCCACAGCACATCCCCCAAACCTTTGCCTGGGGAAGCTGGAAGGAGAATACGGAGACAGGGGTGATGCCCTGGAAATAGGGGCGATGCCCTGGAAAAGAACACACTGCAGCTCCGCGCGAGGTCCCTGCCGGCGGAGCCTGAAGCTGCTGCCCCGTGTCAGCCGGCATCAGCCCAGGGCCCAGCTGCCCGGGGGGGGACTGCACTGGAAAAGGCTCATTGGAAAGCAAAGTCCACTGAGAGAAAAACCAACACCTGCTCGGGAAAACAATCCTTCACCGCCCATGTCAACAGGGCCAAGGAAGCGCACTAACTGCATTGCTCAAACACAAAAAATGGGAAGAAAAAGCTTCTTCGCAGGGGACGAAGCTGGAGCAGAGAAGACAGCTGATGCCGCCACACGCCTGATCGGGGCCAGCAGCCCCGAGCACCGCTAGCCCTTGGCCCCGCACGCCCCGCCGGGCTGGGGGGGCCCAGCACCCGCCGTGCTTGAAACCGCTTGGCAGTGCCAAGAAAGCCCACCCCTCCCCAGCGAGGGGTCGCCTACATCGAGCATCCCAGTCCCGACGGGGCTCACGGTGCCAGTCCCTGGGCGCAGGGGGTGTCACTGGGCAATGCCTCCCTCCTCCCGAGCCCAGGAGGCAGGAAGATGGAGCCAGCCTGTGCCTGGCGTGGCGGT